AGTGAAACATGGAAGAGGTAAACAGGAAAGAGAAATCATAAGAGACCTATTAAAGTTGAATTGTTTACATTCCTGCAGGGAAAGACGATATTTGTAACTCATGAATCCTTTGTCAATATTAGGGTAGTGGGAGGGAAAAAATTTTATGTACGTATAGATAGAGGGCACAGGGTGAGTTGAAGATGAAGGGGTGATATCTGGAAAATAAAATTAAGGGGTGGGAGATTACACTGGGAGAAGGAGAAAGGGAGAAGTAGAATGAGATAAAATATCTCACATGAAACATACAACAAAAGGCTTTTACAGTGGAGGGGAAATGGGGGAAGGTGAGAGGGAATGAGTGAATTTTATTCTCATAGGATTTGGCTTAAGGAGGGAATAACATACACAATGGGGTATGGAAATCTAACTCTACAGGAAAATAAAGTGGGAAAGGGACAAGAGAGCAGGGGGTTGATAGAGGGGAGTGCAGATTGAGGGAGGGGATAATCAAAAGCAAACATTTCTGAGGAGGGACAGGGTCAAAAGAGAGAATAGAATAAATGGGGGGTAGGATAGGATAGGATGAAGGGAAATATACTTAGTTTTTCACAACAGGACTACTATGGAAGTGTTTTGCATGACTACACATCTATAACCTGTGTTGAGATGCTTGCCTTTTCAATAAGGGTGGGTGGGGAGGGAGGAAGGGAGAAAATTTGTAACCCAAAGTTTTCAAAACACGTTAAAAATAAAAAAATAAAAAAAATAAAAATAAAATAGGCATGTGGATTGTTAGTTACTATCTTTTCTTCCCCTTTTTGGAATTTTTCCCTTTGGAAATATTTTAAAAACAGATCCCCAAGAGCCTTTAAATTTGTGGTGGCTTCCACCTGGAGAGGTTTTTCTTGACTTCATCCTCCTAAGTGACATGTAATGTGGATGAACTGGTCTAGAAGGGCCTTTCTTGGAGCATGCATAGATACTCCCTGCCTGGTTCTTATCTTCATATGGAAAATTGAGGGATCCCACTTTAGGCTAACAATGACCAAAGGGCTCACATTCAGTGATGGTGAAGAGTGCTCAGATCAAGTGTTAAGCCAGAACTGATGACTCAGGGCACTGCAATGTGAAATGAAGAGTTCCCTAACTGGCTGCTGGCCTGGAACTCAGGAGATACACAAAAGGGGTAACATAAACCTCTGTTGCTCTTTTTCCTTCCTGGCAGCAAGTGAAACAAGACTGGTTTCAATTGCCTCCTGGAACGAAGGTAAGGCCCCATCCCCCCACCCAGCCATGGCAGCACTGTGTATATGGATCTATTTTTGTATTTGTTTTTTCCTGATCATAGGTGAGTCAGTGTCCAATTTGAATTGTCCAGGTGAACTTCTGAAAAGACAGAATGGGAGGCATGAAAGGTGGTAGTTTCAGCGTTCCAGGACTGGCAGTGTCTGATAGAAACTGAAGTATCTACATCAGCAGGGGAGAGCAGAGAGACAGTCACTCTAGCGAAGGTTGCTTTAGAGAGTGTGACCCCTTATTTCAGAGAAGTACAAACAATAGACAAAGAAAGACAGTTCCTACGCGCTAAACTAAATAGCTCACCCAAGGGAAGCTACATGATGACTACAAAGGGAGAAAAGACTTCTGGCTTCAGGGGTTTTGAGTTACTCCTTTGCCTTATTTGCATGCCCAAATTTGAGCTCATTTCCCTCACATCGCTGCTTATATTTGAATGAGCTCATTTTATAGGAGGAATGCATTGTACCAACTATTTTGACTATACCATCTTAGTAAAACACCTTTACTAATAAAAGTTAATTGAGTCTATTGGCCGAGATTGTTAATAGGAAGTGTACTGGTGAGGATTCAGGAGCTACAGTATTAGAAGCCTCATATCAAGGGTTACTCCTAGAACCCTTAGTGTAGTTGTGACTCCTCTAGGGACCTGACCTTTATACGAAAGGGCAAGTTTGGGGTATTGCCCTGAAAGGAGTGCTACAGTTTTGCATAGCACACAGTACAGGTGACCTGGTATAGAGGATGAAGTACAGACCTGAGAGGCACGAATACCTGGATCCTAGGCCTACCTTTGTCAGGTACTATGTCACTTAACCTCCATGTCCCCCACAACTCTCTTAAAAACTGAAAGTTTTGGAGCAGTTGCTGCTAAGTGTCTAGTTTCCTCAAAGGGAGTTCTGTTTATCAGTGAAATCACAGGTCCAATGTCTATATATATATATTATTTAGTGAAAGGATATGCCATATCTCAGAACTCATACAACCAGGCCAGCCCCAGGACTAGAAGGGTTCATTTGAGTCAGAGTTCTGTGATTGGGCAAAGGATTTTTTTTCCCTTCAACTATGAAGGGATTTTCACATAGAACAAGAACCTTGAATGTGTGCGATGGGGTGTTTGCGTGTGTGTGCGCTCACGTGCAGGTGGTCATCTAATGCCAGACAAGTTCAGTTGCCAAAATCGGGAACCTGTACACAACCATCCCAAAGACTACTTTGCCTAGAGGCTTGTTTCCTCGAGTTTTTCTGGGTTCATAAATACTCTTGCTGGTCTTAATGTTTAAGCTTAATTTTTTTAGAATGAAAAATTTATACCCTGCCACAAACTTTTACTGATTTTACCATATAGAATGTCTAACTTCAGAACTCCAGTTTATCAGCCAACTTTCCTCATAATATAAAAGCATAGATATCCAAACTTCAGATCGGTGAAATCAGATTGGGATGCTGTCACACTTTTCCAGCTCGATTGAACACAAATATATTTTGGAAGTATTTTTTTTATTTGTTTGTTTGTTTTTAGGCAATTAGGGTTAAGTGACTTGCCCAGGGTCACACAGCTAATAAGTGTCAAGTGTTTGGTCTGAGGCCAGCTTTGAACTCAGGTCCTCCTAACTCCAGGGCTGGTGCTCTATCCACTTTGCCACCTAGCTGCCCCAGAGGTATTTAATTTTTAAAAAGGTAGATATTTTTTTATATTTAATTTTTGACAAAAAACAAAAAGGACAGGTATAGAACAGTACTGGTGGACTATGGTGTGATGCTGTCTGTGTAACAATAAAAAGCTTTTACTTCCTTTTACTTCAAATACATTTATTTTCAACACCGTGGTAAAATTATATTATCATTGATTAATTTTTGCATCTAGACTCACAATACAATCAAGTTAGAATGTATAATCTAGTCTTGTGATCTTACTGGTGAATAAATGAGAACGGTCAGGCTATCCATAGAACAGATGGGCTACAAGATAAATGGAGAAGCAACTTGTCAAAATTTACTTCCATTTATAAGTAGCTTTTTTTTTTTTTGTGGGAGCAAAGAACTAGGAAAAAAAAAACGGTGACTGGGGAATGGCTAAACAAACTGTGATACCTGGATACATTGAACACCACTGTGCTGTAAACCATGATGAACATAAAGCATTAATTTTGAGAAACTTGGGGAGACTTGTATGAACTGATGGAGTTAAGTAGAAACTGGAAGATAATATACACATTTAGCACAACAATCCAAATGGAAAGAACAGTAACATGAAACCAGTGGCTATGTAATTATAACTAAGCTTAGCCCTGGGGAAGGGACAAGAAAATGCAAAATCCCCATTTTGTTGAAGAGATGAGGGACTCTGGGTATGGAAAGCTGCATGCTGTTGGGCACAGCTGATATTTTGGGTTAATATTTCTGAACTGCTTTGCTGGGATTAGAGAAAAGAGCAGAGTAGGTTTGGAAATGAATGTCACATAAAAGCAAAAAGCATCAATAAAACTTGATAAAAATAAAAGGGCTTGGGGGGCTAATGGCAAAAAAAGATTGTGAATTGGAAAATGCAGACAAGCAAACGGGAAAAATACACTAAAAGGTCGTTTCACTTTTTATATTTTAAAGCAAATACATAACAAATCCCATTGGAGATGGTAGCAATGTCAAAATGTATTGTGACCCTATTTTCTAGCAAGAGATTGGGTGGTGGTGGTGATGGGGAGCAGTGGAGGCCTAACCTTCACTAAATATCAGAAATGTTATCTTGCTTCCTACAAAATCCAACTGAGTTTTAAGAAATATGCATATATTCTTTCTTTCCAAATGACACTCTCCCACCACCCTTGACCAAAAAATTCCTTAGTAAAAACTTCCTAGGATAATAGGAATATTGATTAAAATACCACTTCCTAAATTAGGTTTTGCTTATTCCACTGATAAAGTCATCTATTCCTTCACCTGGAAGGCTTTAATATTCATAAAAGGAGATTCATTTTGCCTCTAACAAAATACAAACTTACTCCTAGGTGAAGAAATAGCTCTGGTAATTAAATACAAAAGGCAAAGACTATAGTTTGTAGAGTGTGTATAGAAAGGAACTTCCCTTTCCCTTTTTTTTTCCCTGGAGGCAATCAAGGTTAAGTGACTTGCCCAGGGTCACACAGCTAGTACGTGAGATAATATTTGAACTCATGTCCTTCTAACTACCCCACCAATGCTCTATCCACTGCACCACTTAGCTGCCCCCTCCCCTCTTTCCCTTTTGATTTCAATAACTAAAACAGTAAACATTTTTAAACACTAAAATTTCTGATTATATTTAACACTTTGAGGAGTATACAGTTCAAGCCAGAATTTAATAGAAAATAAATCAATTTGTTAAAACACTTCATTTTCTCAATTAATACATAGTAAAATCACAGAAATACAAAACAAATTCACAGTACGATATATCTGAGCATAACTTACAGAAAATATATGGACTGATTTCCTATGAAAATGAACCATCTTATCAAATATTCTTCAGAAACATTCAACTGCAATGAGCTTTCCCAAATGATGTCCTTCCAATGTAAAATGTAGTCAAGCATTTTAATTCTGTTGTACAATTAGCTTTTCCCAATGATGCCCTTCCAGTGTAAAATGTATTCAAGATGCACATTCTAATTGTTGTTTTTTCTGTCTGTAGGTATAAAGGGTGTCATTTTTTCAGTAACTTTACTTAAAATAATTTAAAATACGCAATAAATTGTCCAAGAAGATTCATGGCTTCTGGGTAGGTACATCACAGTAAGGATTATTCTCTGTAAGAAGGTCTTTCCTAGGAACTAACTTCAAAGTGTTTTGATCTGTGTGAATGCCCTGTATAACAGATTTTCTGAGTATTAATTCAACATCAGAACCTATCTTGATCAACTTTTCTATTTCCTCTGGTGAAGTCACACTTATATTCTTTTTGAATTCTTCATTTATCTTTTTTCTTGCTGCTTCTAGTGCTCTGGTATCGTTTTTAAAAACTTGCTGTCTAGTCCTGTGCAAGGTTTTAAAAAGCCGTAACACCTTGGCAGAGTCAACCATCTCGGCAGTTTAGTCAACTGGGTTCAGCCGGACTCCCAGAGCCAATCACCTCCTCACTCCAGCCTGCTCCGAGTCCTAGGGGAGGAGCTTTCCCCAGACCCCACTCTTACTTAGTTTATGTCCGTTTTCTTGGCGCGGTCACATTCCTTGGAAGAGAAAAGAAAGGAAAGGAAAGAGGGGAAGAATGGGAGGGGAGAGGGGGAAAGAGAGGAGGGAGGGGAGAAAGGAGGGAGAGTGAAGTGAGGGGGGATGGGAGAGAGGAGGGAGATGAAAAGGGGGAGAGGAAAGGAATTGATATAATCTAGTTATATATATATATATTATAAACTTATACTACATTTCATGAAGATACAATATAGTACAAACTTAACACACTCAAGTACAGGATTCCCAAAAGGCAGGAATCTTTCGTTAATCACTTCACCCCTACCCCGATCTTACTTCTGCGTTAGCTTCACTTGTCTCAGAGCCCAACAGTGCACTTAATATGCTTGGCTTCAATCAGTGGCTGTATTTTAGCAGCATTACCCAAATCATAAAAATACACAGGTAGGTGTTAAATAACGTAGAGCGAACCGAAGCTGGGGGGAGGGGGGCGTAGGGTGGGGTGACTTTTCCCCCATCCCCCGCAGATAACTACCCGCTGGGTGAACTGGAGCTCTCGGGGCAAACCTCCGGGGGAGGAGGGGCACAGATATGAACCACGCCAGGCTCCCTGCCAGCAGCAACGGTCACCGTCGCCTCCTGCTCGGGTCTCTGCTCCGAGCGCCCCCACGCCTGGGGGTTCTCCCCCCACCCCCAGCCCCTCACCCCCCCGCCCCTCACCCCCCGCAGCGTCTAGCCTAGTCCCCACCTCCCTTCCGCTCCCCAGTCCGGCCTCAACCATTCCCGCTCTGGGCAGCAGGAGGGGCCAGCGAGCCCCGTCCGAGCTCGTGGCTTAGCTTGGCTGGTCAAGAGAGGCGACACCGGACAGGCCACACGTGCTCCCGCCCCGAGCCTCCGCGAAGTTTCCGCCCAGGAGGAAGTCCCTTCAAGGTCAAAAGCCCCTCCCCGGAAGCCAGGGGAATTCTGGGTAGTAGCCCTGTGCCAGCTTCCGCCCTCCCTGCCTTGCCTGGGTCGTCGTGGGCGGCTTCCACGGCTACGTCCTCCCCAACCTTTTTTTTTAACTACTAGCATGAATTCGCCCTGAGGTTTTCTTTGACGATGATGACAAAAACAATAGCTAGCATTTATCTATTGCTTTATAAATATTACTATATTTAATTACAGATGCCGCCGGTCAAGAAGCATTTATAAAGCGCCTACTATGTGAAGGCAGCTAGGTGGCGCAGTGGATAGAGCGTTGGAGAAACGAAGACGCATGTTACTGAGTTCAAATCCGGCCTCCGACACTAACTAGCTGTCACTCAACCAATGATTCTAACATTGTTTCCATAAGAAAATTTGTTGTTTCAAACATATGAATTACAAAATAACTTGGTATACAGTTTGTTTGTAACGTGTGGGCTCCCTGTGTCCCTCATTTTTCATCATCTCCTGCATTCTGTCTGATCTCCAAACTGACCCCTCCTGCCCTAACATATATAATATGCTTATCTCGAATTTTATCTCCATGGTGTATGCAGTATGGCATATTGGAAGCATCACTGTCTCTGGAGCCAGAGGATCTGCATTCAACTCTTACTTGTGCTGCTTACTGAATATGTGACCTGAAGTAAGCCTCTTAACCTCATTAGGCTTCAATGAGGCCTTATCTAAAAAATTTAGGAGTTATACTAGCTAGATGTTCTCTGAAGTCCCTTCTAGCTCTATGAGTTATAACCCGAGTTGTTGTTCAGTTGTTTCAGTACCTCTACCTCTTTGTGACCCCTTTTAGGGTTTTCCTGGCAAAGAATGGCAATGGTTTGCCATGTCCTTGTCCAGCTCGTTTTACACATGAGGAACTGAGGCAAAGTGTTAAGCTCAGGGTCACACAGTAAGTGTCTGAGGCCAGATTTGAATTCAGGTCCTCCTGATTCCAGGGCTGGCACTCTATCCATTGTACCACCTATATATTCTTTTTAAAAAGTTGAATTACCAAAATTTATTTTCTCTCCTCTCCTTTTCTTTATTAAAAAATAAGAGAAAGACAAAATCTTGTAACAAATACGCAGAGTCAAGCAAAACATATTCCTGCGCTGGTAATGTTCAAAAATGTGGGACTTGTTCTATATCTTGGGTTCTGTCAGCTGTCAGTCAAAAGACCTAAAAAAAAAATAGAAGAAAATGAAAGGTATCTCATAGCAAAAACAACTGATGTGGAAAACAAAGAAAGGAGAGAAAAAGTTCTTGGAATCATTGGACTAACTGAAATCCATGACCAAAACAAGGACCTAGACATCTTATTACAAGAAATCTTAAAAGAAAACTGCCCAGATCTCCTAGGACCAGAAGGCAAAGTAGAAATAGAAAGATTCTATTGGTCACCTCCTGAAAGAAACCCCCAGATGAAAACTTCCAGGAATGTTACAGCCAAAATCCAGAGCTTCCAAGTCAAAGAAAAAATACTACAAGCAACTAGAAAGAAAGAATTCAAGTTCCCAGGAGCCACAGTCAAGATTACACACAATTTAGCAGGCACCACTCTAAAGGGGGAAGGAAAATTATTTACATAGTGCTTTCTCTGTACCAGACACTGCACTAAGCCCTTTTCAAATATCTTATTTGAACCTCACCAGCAACTCTGTGAAGTAGGTGCTATCATTATCTCCATTTTACAGAAATAAGTTTTATTAGTATCTCCATTTTACAGTTGAGGAAACTGGGACAATCAGAAGTTAAATGAATTTCCCAGTCACACAACTAGTGTCTGAGACCTGATTTAAGCTCAAGTCTTCCAGACTCCAGCCCCAGAGCTCTATCTACTGTATCATCAACTGCCTCATTGCCACTCTGAAGGATCAGAGAGCTTGACTATGATATTTCAGAAGGCAAATGATATAGGCTTACAGCTGAGTATGACTTACTTTGTAAAACTGATCCTACAGGGGAACCCTGAGAGAAAATGTAGTCAGTCTCACTCCAGGAGAGTAAAGCCTCTATATGTCAAATAGTAGACATCTCCTTTACAAAGTGTTAGGTAGGGGGCAGTGGATAGAGACACCTTACACTTACTAGCTGTGTGACCCTGGGCAAGTCATTTAACCCCGATTGCCTCACGAAAAAGCAAAAAAAAAAAAACCAAAAAAAAAACCCCCAACAAAAAACAAAAGTGTTAGTAGATAGGCAGGGTAAAGGGAAAATACATAGATTCAAAATTAGCTTTGAAAATCCCTTAAATTAACCATCAAAAACAGTACACTATCTTTAAATCTTAAGAACCACATGACTGTAAGGGAAACTGAGGAGATCCTCCCCAGCCCCTCTGATGACTGTCTCATGATCTGACATAAGTAATGTAATTTAAAGTTAGTATGCGTGACTGGGAGCACCAAGGGAATAGAACATCAAAGAATAAAACAAACCATGTTACCAGAAATTATGTTACCAGGGTGGAACAACTCTTACCTCAAGGAATATCTTAGATTCCTTAAGGAAAGAGTATATGTATTCAAGGAACTGGCCTCTCCTTGGATATGTACATAAAAAATAGGCATCTGTAGCTTTGGCCAACCTCCACTTTGGTTCTAAGGTTGTTCTCCCGTGGTTTACATAGATGTAAAAAGGGCCATTGGGAAAGGGAGTTTTGGAGGTCTTCGTTTCAGAGATGGGGACGCCCACTCTGTCACCTTTCCTAACCGAGACCCTGACAGCTGTGATACAGGACTCCCCCAGCCAGATGTTCAAGAGTGGGTGCTTCCTTGGATTGGTGATGTATTTCCTCTTCTTTATCTCTCTATCTTTCTGTTAATAGTCTTTGTTTCTAAGATTGTATAATCATATGTAATCACATTTATGTGCATGTATATTTATGATTATTATCATTATGAAATCATTTATAATCTAGAAAAAGTGTGAACATGTTTTTGTGGGTACAGATCCAAACCCGTGAAACAAATTATAAGTGCTGCGCAGCCCATAACACCTTACTGTTACAATGACTTTTCCATCTAATTTGCCATTGAAACCTTCCATATGTGTTGTCTCCTTTATTAGAATGTGGGCAGGAATTGTCTGACCCTTCTGTTGTATTTACAATGCTTAGCATGGTGCTTTGCATGTGTTGTTGTTCAGTCCTCCACGCATGTCCAATTCATTGTGACCCCGTGAATCACAGCATGCTAGGCCCTTATATCCTATACTATCTCCTGGTCTGTCCAAGTTCATGTCCATTGTTCCCACGACACTATCTATCCATCTTATTCTTTGCCATCTCCTTTTCCTTTTGCCTTCAATCTTTCCCACCATCAGATGTTTTCCAATGAGTCCCATCTTCTCATTATGTGGCCAAAGTATTTATATTTCAGCTTTAGTATCTGACCTTCCAATGAATGACCTGAATTAATTTCTTTAAGTATTGACTCTCTTTTCTGTCCGAGAGACTCTCAAAAGTCTTCTCCAACACCATAATAAGAAAGTGTCAATTCTGTGGCACTCACTTTTCTTTGTAATCCAACTCTCACAGCCATAGCTTTGACTACATGGACTTTTGTAGGCAAGGTGATATCTTTGCTATTTAGTATGCTATCCAGATTTGCCATAGCTTCCCTTCCAAGGAGCAAGGGTCTTTTAATTTCATGGCTGCAGTTTCCATCTGCAGTGATCTTTGAGCTCAAGCATATAAAATCTGACACTGCTTACATTTCTTTTCCCTCTATTTGCCAGGATATGATGGGAGCAGTTGCCAAGATCTTAGGGGTGGGTTTTTTTTTTAAAGTTAAGCTTCAAGCCAGCTTTTTTTTTTTCACTCTCATCAAGAGGCTTCTTTACTTCTTTACTTTCTCTTCACTTTCTGCAATCAGAGCAGTATCATCTGCTTATGCAAGATTGTTGTTATTTCTCCTGGCAACCTTAACTTCAGCTTTTGATTTATCCAGCCTGGCATTTCACATGATGCATGTAAGTTAAATAAATAAGGTGACAACATACAGCCTTGTCATATTCCTTTCCCAATCTTAAACCAATCAGTTCTTCCATGTTTGGTTCTAACTGTTGCTTCTTGGCCCTCATATAGGTTCCTCATGAGACAAATAAGATCATCTGGTACTCCCATCTCTTTAAGGACTTGCCACATTTTGTCGTGATCCACATAACCAAAAGCCTTAGTGTAGTGAGTGAAGCAAAAGCAGATGTTTTTCTGGAACTCCCTTGCTTTCTCCATAATCCAGAGAATGTCAGTAATGTGGTGTCTAGTTCCTCTGCCTCTTTGAAAACCAGACTGTTCTTCTGGTAATCCTTGGTTCACATGAAGCCTAGCTTACAGAATCTTAAGCATAACCTTGCTGGCTTTTGAATGAGCAAAATTGTTCAGTAATTTGAATATTCCTTGGCATTGTCCTTCTTTAGGTTTAGGACATAAACTGATCTTTTCCTATCCAGTGGCCACCATTGAGTTTTCCAAATTTGCTGGCATATTGAGTGCAATATTTTAACAGCATCATGTTTTAGACTTTTAAATAGCTCAGCTGGAATTCCATCACTTCCACTAGCCTTATTGTTAGCAATGCTTCCTAAGGCTCACTTGACTTCATTTTCCAGGATGTCTGGCTCTAGATCAGTAACCACACCATCTTAGTTATTGGTAATGTTAAGATCTTTCTTGTATAGTTTGTGTGTGTGTGTGTGTGTGTGTGTGTGTGTGTGTTTTCTTGCCACCTGTTCTTAATTTTTTCTTCTTCTGTTAAGTCCCTACTATTTTTGTATTTTATCTTATCCATTTTTGCATGAAATGTTCCTTTGATATCTCTAACTTTCTTGAAAAAATCTCTGGTCTTTTACATTCTGTTCTTTTCTTCTATTTATTTATTTATTTTTTTTGCATTGCTCATTTAGAAAACCTTTATCTCTCCTTGCTATTCTCTGGAATTCTGTGTTCAATTGGGTATATTT